GCAGGCTTGAAAGGGAGAGAAAACGTGATAGACGAAGCAATTATAAAGAAGCAAATCGAGAAACAAAGACAACGATTATTAAGGGAGAATTTCTCAGATCAGAACTGACATATTCTCCGACGATACCGTGGCGTTATTAAACAAATGGCGGTATGTTTAGAGATTATATGTGCAAGCGGTTTTTGGTGCTCAAACATCAATTCTACTACTTCAAGAACCTTAAGCAGTTTTAATTTGGTTTAAATTTGCTTTTGAATCTTCACCTGATACACTTGAAAACTTCTCAATTGAATGAGCTAGTTGACAATGAAAATATGTGTGAATTGTGTGTACACTTTGACATAAATCTACGTGGATGTTTTAAACTATGCATTTTAAAAAGAGAGCCTTGATATTTATTTGAATGTTCCGATTTTTTCTCTTTACTCTTCAATAAACTCTTTAATACAAACTGTCAACAAATACAGGAAATGGTATATGTGGATAAGCAAATAATTTGAGAAGTTGCTTCATTTATAATCAGTATGATCATTATGATTCCTTTGTTTACAAAACTGACAAAATGTATTTATTACTTATCATTTATCATCACTGTATGTCAAAAATGTATTGATTAGTGTCATTCTTGTGTGATTAAGTAACAATGCGCGCAAAAAGCAGGCAACTTTCTATTGTTCTGCGGCAATTGCAACTTCCCCACATACGAATGTCTTGGTCTTCACACTGATTATATATCAACCTATGGGTAACACATTTTTAAAATAAAATGTGAATAAACTCTGTTTTGAAACAAAGTTTCTTTTGTATTAAAAGATCTTGTCCAATCATAAGCACTCAAAACAATAGCCAAAAAATGCTTCTAATTTGCTATGTTCCCCACATAGAATTGCTATTAATATTAAAGCTAAGGAAAGCTTTTATGAAGTCGGAATCAGATATTAAATAAAATATTTAAAAATGCGCTTACTTTTGAAATTATGTCAAATTTTAATGTTTTAACCAATGAGATGGATGGATTATACAATACAAAATTAGCACCNGGATATTTTAAACTATGCATTTTCAAAAGAGAGCCTTGATATTTATTTGAATGTTCCGATTTTTTCTCTTTACTCTTCAATAAACTCTTTAATACAAACTGTCAACAAATACAGGAAATGTTATATTTGGATAAGCAAAGAATTTGAGAAGTTGCTTCATTTATAATCAGTATGATCATTATGATTCCTTTGTTTACAAAACTGACAAAATGTATTTATTACTTATCATTTATGATCACCGTATGTCAAAAATGTATTGATTAGTGTCATTCTTGTGTGATTAAATTATTATGATTACGTATGTTTCCTGTGTGATTGAAAAACCACCAAAACTGTCAAATTGCATAAATGACCCAAAATCATTTATTTGGATCACTGTATGATTGAAAAAATATCAGTTGACTGCCAAAATGTATTTATTATTTATTATTATTTATCATTCCTGTGTGATCAAATGTTCATCCAGCTCTTCTTAGTTCGATTGCTGCGTTCCTGACGAATCGTAAGCAAGCAGTAAGAATCGGAGRGACTCTTTCATATTGMCTACCACTGAAAGGAGGTGTGCCCAAGGGACYAGACTAGGGGTGATCCTTTTCACGGTTATGACAAATAAATTGTAGTCTGACTGGCKGCTGCACATTAAATACGTTGATGATACCAGTGCCCTAGAAATATTCCCAAGGAGCTCTATAAGTTTGCTTAACATTGTGTTATCAGATATACACAAATTTACAAAATCTCAGAACATGAGACTGAATCCAGCTAAGTGTAAAGAGATGCGTATTAATTAATTGCATTAATAACTTTCTTATTTACCCCATTATATTAGGTGGCGATGTTATTGAATGTGTAAACACCTATAAGATATATAGCTTATGAGTTAAAATGAGTGATGAGGGCCGTAAACTACTGTAGAAAGTCAAATATTATTTATAGGGATTTCGCCGGACGCTGGCATCATCAGGTCACGAAAATAGCATACAAAATTGGCATATAAAGTAAAATAATATGCTATAATATGCTAATTTTGTAAGCTATCTATAGTGAATTGGTGATGCCGGCGTCCGGCGAAAGCTCGTCAAAACTTATTTGACTTTCTACAGAAGTGTACGGCCCTCATCACTCATTGTAAAATCATATTCTTTAAACGACTTTGACTAGAATCTGAGGAGCGTTTTTGAGAAAATCGGGGTCCTGTTTTTTTTAATCGGATTTCTAAAATTATTGGTACATAACACGCACTGTGATTAGTTCTGGGACTAAACGTCAGGCAGTACCCGGGCAGTCAAAAAATCTCAAATTGCCTTGCTTGTGACTATAAATAATTGTCGAACAGTATTATTTCGGTCTTTATTGCATTTCCCTTGTTGTATTAATTGAAATTACGGTTGTTCCGACGATTTTATAAGAAAAAATTAAACTGCCTGACGTTTAGTCCTGGGACTAAATGTCAGGCTGCCTGACGTTTAGACACTCCGAATTTAAAAATGGTGTTAGAGCAATTTACTTGAAATTAAATGTTGACAGTATATTCTATATTATACTTATTAGTAAGTGATATCAAAAATAGAGAAAAATTATTGATTTATTTTGATAATTGCTTTTATAAAAAAATAATTAGATCCAAAAAATAAAACTCAATTTTCTTGGATCAAAGAGTTCTCATTGATTTTTCTAAAACTCCGAGGATCTTCGCCAATGTATGTCTATCGAACGGAAAGTCGTGTTCAAAGTATTTTAAAAGTTTAGATCAAAGCACTTTTAAGCGATATTAAAATATGAAATATCGCTTGAAAATTAATCTCAAATTCTCTAGAAWATGTTTTGTATTTATATATTTCCGGCCTTTTTCCGATGATTTTTGATGAAGGTTCATGTAAATATCTTCTCCGTAAGACGCAAAATTTGAAGATCAGAGATATTTCGCAAGACATGTCTTYCTAGAGACCTATTATGCARCCGYTTCACAATGAAGAGAACCAGCCAACCAATRAGACTGTTTTTCATATTAAAAGTAAGGTGCGATTGGCGCAGCAGTTGAATTACATCTTTTTGGGGTATATTAAGCAGTCAAAGACTACATATTCTGTTGCATAGCTTGAGAGTTTGTTTGKYTGTCGACTCYCATTGGAAACATGGAACTTCTTCTTTTGATGTTTGCTTTTATTCAATCTGCAGATGGTAAGTGTTTCAAATTCATCTCAAATCACACTACTAGTATGCATAGGTCGTGTAGCTACCGGCCTTGGTTTCCRATTATAAAATTCCGATGACTAAAGCAATATAGTTGTTATCARGAAAGATTAGGAGGAGTTTATACGGGTTCCTATGAGAAATATATCTGTTCTAATGTCCCAGCCAGCTGTAAGTCACAAATTGTTGCCAGTAAGAAATTCAGGAWKAWTACCTCTACAGAGAAGGAATKYTTTCTAAGAATTTTTGCCAGGAAAATAAACATTTCCTACTAAAAACAATATAAGSCCTTTTTGAGCATAAAAAAGTTATATAAGTCTTTTTTGACCTTAAAACCTTTGCAAGGAACAAAATTATAAAAAAATCACATTTGTTTGTGAGATTGTCGACAATGTAGCTCAACGCCAAAAAWAATTCGYAGAAAAACACTTATTTAGAAGAACAGACCTCTTCGCTACTTAAAGTCAATGCACCTAATACTTGAAAGAAAATATTAATAAAGAAAAAATAAGCTGTCATAAAAAAAATTAGGACGTTTTCTCTATRGCAACGTTTTTGCAAAACMTTAATTGTATATACGACAAATGAGTACAGCACAGAGTGCCTCCTTGCCATTTCTTTAATTAAAGCTTATTTTAAGCAAATGAATGACGCTGGGATAGTCTTTAGTAAAATGGAATGAATAGTCGGCACACTTTGATGTCACTATAAAGCTCTCTTTACTACAGTAATGAATACGAATACCTGCAGACGTTAGCTCCTATAATTATAAGGTTGATAGTGAATTATTAATMTATTTTTCTGAAGTCTCTGAATTTTTTCAAAAATACATGGACTATTTACTGAGTTAATATTCAAAAACGAATGCTCTTAAGTATCATGTAGTACATCAAATTCTGATTATTGATAATAGAAATAGATAGTGCTCTCAAAAGCATCATGATATTTTAGGAGGGGTCAAAGGGTTCTTTGGAGAAATATATCTGTTCTTATGTCCCAGCCAGCTGCAAGACATAACTGGTTGCCAGCGAGAAATTCAGGAAAAAAAATAAATCATTAGGCAAGGAATAAATTTCTAAACATTTTTGACAGGAAAATAAAAATATCCTTMCTAAAAAAATAAAAGTCGTTTTTGACCATAAAAGCATTATATAAGCCTTTTTTGTCTTTAAAAACGTTTTCCAGGAACAAAAAAATTATTTTAAAGAAGGATGGGCGCCATTTTTTATTGTGAGATTGTTAACAATGTAGCTCAATTATTTCTCCAAGGAAAATAATCGTACAAGAACAGTTATTTAGAAGAACAGACCCCGTCGGCTCCTGCTGACAGATATTTCTTGATACTTCTTAATTACTTGTTCATTACATGCTAAGCTCTATCTGTCATTTGCAGCTGTCGAGATTCATTGTAAAGCTACGTAAACTATGCTTTCTTTCTAATTAGGGCTATGCAGTGGATCGGATCCCAAATTCCTTCCCAGAACAGGATACTACCTTCAAAACCATGTTTCTTTTGGGTTATTAGCGGATAGCGAAACTGCATGTCGCATCAAGTGTTACATTGTTGACAATTGTATGTCATATAACTACCATTCAAGTAGTAGATCCTGTGAAATCAATGATTCTGATGGCATTCAGTACCCACAGGACCTCATTTCAAAACATGGATACATCTATGTTGGTACTAAGGTAATAACTGGAGGAAAGGTAAAATTTTTATAATTATGACAGTAAAATAAAAATAATTGTTTTTGTGAGGAATGATTGTGAAGAGTGCTGGTTTCAAGAGAATTCTACGGAAAAGTGTTCAATAGAGCAAACTTCTGTCCTCTAATATATGTTCATTATCACTTTGCTGCTTTTGATACTTTTAACAAATGGCTAGTATAAATTTAGTCAGTAATATTTTTCACTATGCCTATCATGTTTTTTTCATAGAACGATTGCATGAAAAAACCATGCCCGTCCACCGCTGTTTGTACCGCCCATGTCAGAAGTCAAGGTTATAAGTGTTCGACATGCGTTTGCCAAAAAGGTAGGTACACAATCTAATGGGGAATTAAATATATTCTCTTCTTTATTTCATTTTGTAATAAAGTTTGTGTTTCCATCTATTGTCTGATATAAAAGTAAACACAGTGCTCCCAAAAGTATGAATCTGTCAACGGAGATATTGAATACCGCATTTATTTCACATTATTTTACACGCTTGTATTCCTGGTTGTACGGATGATATAAAAAGAGAAGAAACATTTATTTTCTTGATAGCCTTTTTTAATATAAAGAACGTTGATGAGGTCGACTATAATCATCTTATTTATTTTCAAGCAAATCCTTGTAAGGAAGATCAGTCTGTTGGGATGCAGAACAAGAATCTTCCAAATGAATACCTTAATGCTTCATCTGAGTACAATTCCAATCATGCTGCACATCGGGGGAGACTAGAAGAAATCSCAGAAGGTAATCTCGCAGGTGGATGGTCCGCAGAMAAAAATAACCARAATCAATGGCTGCARGTCAATTTAGGAAAGATTGCCAAGGTAACAATTATGATGCAGTTTATACTCCTCATAAAGTATTGGCAACCCTCCTTATGCACTTCCACACTACTGTTTTTCATCTAATGCACTAATTATATATGATTCAAGGTTGTCCGTATTGCAACTCAAGGAAGAAGTAGTGAACAATACAACCAGTGGGTAAAAACCTACTATATCACTAGTAGTCGCCATGGTGATCAATTTAACAAATATGGAGGAGGAAGAAACTTTCAGGGAAATTCAGACAGAAACACAATTGTCTCTCATCTCATTAGTCCAGCCATTATTGCAAGATACGTACGAGTCCATCCAGTTACCTGGCATATTCATATCTCCATGAGAATAGAGCTCTATGAATGCAAGGAAGGTAGGAATTGTCGAAAACGTTTTGCTCAATCCGATTAATGTGAAAGACCACACGACATCACTGCACGCTTAATGGCCTCTGGACGTTGCATTGTGTATTTGTGCTGTAATAGAGTTTGCAACCGCTTATACCCGCTTTATAAGAACTTATTTTTTTTCAAATTTTGCCTAAACTGGTTTTATGTGAATGATGTTTAGTCGAGTTTTAGGCTACGGATGTTCTTCAATTGGTTCTTATTGAATTATAAATATATTATACACCTGTGAATGGTAGAAAGGTGGCACGTATATTACACCTTTTGCTGTTCATTAGCGTAAAACGTACACTCATTTGTCCCAAGCGATGCTTCAATAACTTTTATTGTACTTTCTTGAACACCGTAAGCAACATCATTGGCGCGAAACGACTTTCAATAGCGATATTTAAATACGTGCGAGCATTCAACAGTATCAATAGACAATCAACTGAACAACTGGACAATCATTTGGGTGGAACGTTGTTTCATGTGCGCGCAATGAAAATTCAATAGCACCAATTGACAAACGGTTGCATTTATTGACAATCATTCAACCAAAAATGAAACTTCATTAGTGTTATTAGCATAAACATAGGCAATCTATAGCGCGTTTGGACAATCATAGCCATTCGAGAATACATTCTTTAGTGCGTTTTGACAATCATTTGAGCGATTCAAAATACAATAGCGCAAAAGAAAAAATCAATACTACTTATCATTTCTATTTAAATTTCAGCTTTCGATAAATGATAAACTCTCTGTTAATACAACGGGGTAGATATGTTTGCATAAAACGGAGCCAGCCCACATTTAGCTGGAATGATTGTTTCAATACTATTTCGATTCAAAGCCTCCAAAAGAAGCTGTGTGCGGTAATGGCCCAAAGCAAGGCCTTGATTTCTTGCTTCATCTCGATTATTCATTTCTTGTTGTATTGCGGGACGACTTATATCTGCTTTCATCGCCGCTTTCAAGGAGCTTATTGCTTGTTCCACGATGTTTAGAAATAGACTGTAAGGCGGCAATTTTTTCATCTCAGTGTTTGCACCTGGAATGACTGGATTGTGATGGGCTGGGGCACCATCGTAAATGAAAATGACGTTTTCATCGGGATCAAGATTAAAACGCGTCTTTGCCATAAAGTCGTTAAATTTCTGCGAATTCATTCCTAATT